CCCCCCCTCCCGGCTCCCGATTGGCGTGCTCCCACTTGTGCGCGTTTCTTCCTCCCTCTCTCTCCACTCATGGCTGTGCCCCTGCGGCCTTTACTTCTTTTTACGTCCCCCGGACCCACCCTGGAAATAGGCCACCGAGCGTGTGGAGGAGCTCGCTCGGCTTGGGGCCACGACAACACCGGCGGATGGCCTGGCGCCCGGGAGCCGCCCCGGGGGCCGCCCCACCTCCGGCACTGCCACTCCGATCTCTCGGTAGGTGTGCCAGGGCCAGGAATACAGACACTCCCCCCCCCCCTGCGCGTCAACCAAAGAACATATGCCGAGGTGTCTTGCCTCACGGGGAGGGGACGCGGTTTATTGGGACGGCGCACGCGGGCGCAGGATGTGACGGGGTGTATGTGTGTGTGTGTGTGCATGGACGAGAGGAGCGTGCTCAAAGTGGTGATGGAAAGCGAGACCAAGGAGCCTGATGGTGAGGGCGGAGGAGGGCGGAGGTCAGACAACGCCATGGACGGCGAGGGGTGGAGGGGCGGAGGGGCGGAGAGGCGGCGAGAGCCCGGGACGCACACTTAGTTCTTCTTGGGCTTGAGGCTGTCGAGCAGGCTGGCGTCGATCTTGCGCTCGGTGTCGTTGTAGACAGGGGCCTTGGTGGACTTGCTCTGTTGTGTGCGTGCGCGTGCGCGTGGCAACCGCGCACCGGGGCAGAGGGGGGCCGAGTGGGTTGGTAGTCAGTATGCAGCGCCCCACGTTGGCTCTTGTGTAGGCAGGCGGGCGAGGGCGGCGGCGGCGGCGGCGGCGGCGGCAGCAGCAATGGGGCAGCAGCGCACCTGGGCCTTCTGGAGCTTCTCGAGCTCCTCGGTGAAGAGGGCCTTGACGGGGTCCGCGGACTTGGAGCTGGCGGCGCCAGAGTAGTAGGCGACGGCGCGGGGGGCCTGTCGCGGGCGGGAAAGAAGGCGGCGCAGGGTGAGGCCCAGCGTTGGGAGTGTCAGGGACATGTGCTTCCGGGCAACATAGGGCAAAGGATGGGGGGGAGGGGGGGGGGGGGGGGGGGGGGGGGAGGAGCGAGGAAGGTTGCGAGCCGAGCGGCCAATGGGCCGGCCAGCGCGTGTGGCCCGAGGAGAAAGCGACAGGCCGAAAGTCGGGCCAAGCCGGATCAGACCCGATGCACATGGCCGCGCGGGACGGGGCGCCATCCGGGCACCACGCAGGGACGGCGCAGGCGCACGCGCGTCAGCCCAGGACACACGGGCCGTCGGGGGCGCCCGACACACGGCAGCCATGGCGCGACGTCGTCCGACGAGGGCCGACCAGTCGGCCAGCCAGCCGGCCAG